TACTGTAAGCTGTAGTCCTTGGGATCCAATTAGAGTGACTCAGTTCAAATTCCAATGCCTCAAAACCAGGGAACCTGATGGTGTAATTGTCATTTGATACTGAGGTCAGAGAATCCTGGGGGCTGCTGGTTTAAGTCCTGGAGTTTTAAGGCTAGAGATCCTGACATTTGATTTCTTAGAGCAGGGAGGAGGAGAGTATCCCATTTCCAGGAGAAAGCAAGAGAGGGCAAGAGGGGGCTGAACTCATTTTAATAAGCAACCCACTCATGAGATAGTGGCATTAATCCATTCATGAAAGAAAACCCTCATGAATATTAATGGTTATACCTCTTAACACCATCACAATGACAACTGCATTTCAACATGAGTATTGGAGAGGATGTTCAAACCATAGCATTCACTATCCTGTTGGTGCCAATTTAATGTATTTATCCATTTTGTGTTTCTATACAATACACCAGAGACTGGGTAATTTATAAAGAACAAATATTTATTGCATATCGATCTAGAGACTGGGAAGTCCAATGTCAAGGTGCCTGCATCTTGCAAGGGCCTTCACGCTGGATCATGAAGTGGCAGAAGCCATCACATGGTGAGAAAACAAGAGAGAGCAATAGGGGGTTGAATTCCTTTTTATCAGGAACACACTCTTGTGATATGAAAGCAGAGCATTTAAGGCTTAATAACCTCTTACTTGTCCCACCTTTTAATACTATCAATATGGCAATTACATTTCAGCATGAGTTTGGGAGATGACATTCAAACCATAGCGAATGACCATTGAAGACGGAGGAAGGGATTAGAGTTATGCTGCCACAAACCAAGGATGCCTGGGGTTACTAGAAGCTAAGAAAGGAAAGGAAAGAAAAGATCCTTCCCTAGAGTCTTCAGAAAGAGCATATACCTTGCTAATACCTTGGTTTTGGATTTCTAGTCTCCAGACCTGTGAGAGAATACATTTTTTGTTATTTCAGGCCATTCTGTTTGTGGTACCTTGTTTTAGCAGATCAAGAAAACCAAGACTACATTTCTGTTTGCTGTTTTCCCACATGGGGAATCTTCAAACTCATCAAAACTTTTTATTTCCCCATGGCTGGTGGTTTTGCAATATGTCATCTGAAGCCAGGAAGCTATGGGGTGGAAGAGGCACAGAATCCCTTTTCAAAGACTCAATAACCTTTAACACCTACTCGCATTGCCAATCTCAGGTTCAGCTCTTATTGCCCGTGGTCAGAAAAATGGTTCTTTTGCCATTATAAGTTTGTTCTCACTCTACAGTTTATCAAATAATTCTGAGCAGCAGCTAGTTGTCTTAGCTATTTAATGTCATACATTTGAAATTACAAAACAAATAACAATAACAACCAATCTGTTTCGCATTTTGAGTGTTTGCATTTGGAGATTGATAATCATGGCTTTGAGATTAAATTTATGCACTTCATGTCCCTACCCACAAAAATCACCCTAAGAGCTTGAATGCCTAACTATAACTTATTCCTTCTCTCCATAATTTATACCTCAAGAGAAATTCATGTAGAACATCTTGTTGCTGCTTTAATTATGATGCTAGTGTTGGGTGAGGCAGATATAAAAATGATTTTTTAAATGCATAGTTTCCTGTGATAGTATTAATGTATTCACATCTTCACGTAAGTCTAATATCTAAATTTAATCATGAAACCTGTTCTAACATAACTTGAAATAACTTAAGCTAACATGGTTTTCAAAGATTTATAATTAATTTCTAGTACAGCAATTTTTGCAAATATTTACTAAAATATACATGAGATAGTTTTATATAGCATACAGATATTTTAAAATTTTGAATATTTGAAAATTTATAATTTTTGTCAAATTTTGTCATTTTCTATTTATTATTGGCACAGAATTATCATTTGCAGTGGTTATATAAAGTTTAGTTTTCAGATTTACTTAAATAAAATTGTGAGTCAATTGTAAAAAAAAAAAAGTGCCTAGAAAGCAATAGTCCATGTGATGTATCAATGTGGGAAAAAGGTTCCTTTAGTCCCTGAAGGTCAGAAAACACAACTCCATGTCAAGTCACCACAATTATATATATATATATATATATATATATACACACACACACAGAAATGAACACATACACCAGAATATCATATATGTATATAAAGTTACTGTGTTTATAGTACATATATTATAATATATATACATATAGAATATTCAGTGTTTTATTAAATGCAGTAATTTTTGAGGGTACTATCTACTTGTCCTGCACTGCCTCTCCTGAGTTTTATATATTAGCCACCTTCTTTATTTTTTTCAGCATTCAGTAATTTCCATAATATCCAGGACAATTAAGTGGTTAAACTGAGCCTATTGTTAATGCCTCTGTTCTTACATTATTGGTTAATTTTAGTAACATAGTATTCTATCAGATTTAGGGGAAACTCCAATGTACAATGTGCTTTCCAGATCGTTCAATGAACTATCTGCTGGGGCAAAGCTATCTTTGAATTTAAGGACTTTATGAGAAGCACTCACCCAGAAGTTAATGGTAAAGCAACTTTGTATCTTTTGGATGCCACTCAGAGGTGGTTTTGAGGAGTCCATCTGAGAGAAGTCAGAGACACCACCCAGTGTCACTTAGCCAGTATGTGGTGCAACTGAGGTTTGATTTCAAGACCATAAGACTCCAACAGCTAGCTTCCTCCTATTTTGCTAAGATGCCATAGCTTAAATAAAGACAAATTTTGATCGCTGGTCATGTCTGTGTCCACATTAGGAGCCTATTGGTGATATGAAAGCAGGGATATTAGAATGAAAAGGTTGATCAGATCAGGGTAGGAAAATGCTCATATGTAATCGTGGCATGCACCATCAACATGGCCTCATTTTGTTCACTATTAACAAGTTGGCATTCCCTTGGTTGCCAAGTCCATTGTAACACCTATCAGAGTACATTGGTCATAGTAACACTGTCATATAATTCAGAACATGGATATAATTTAAAGCTATTCACTCATCTATATGTCTTATAAAAAAAGAAAGTTGTTTTAACTTAAAGCCATAGAAACTAAAGTGGCTTAATAAAAATAAATAATGACACAATGTTTTAGAATATGTTATGAAATTCAAGGGCAAATAATGTAACCAGGCCTCACCAGAAACCAGTACTCGTGCCTTGCACACTCTAAGAACTGGCAGCCAACCTCACTCTCTCTCCCTGAGCTCACATGTGTTCATTTCTTTTGTCTCACTTTCTTTATATTTCTTTCTCTTCACACCAGCTTTCTATTTCTCAGTGCACAGGGAAGTCTACAGTGGAAGCCTCAGCTCCAGAATTCACTTAATCTAAGATTAAATGATCAGCTGAGACTCACTAGAAGTATTTGATTATAATTCCAAATTCTCAGGAAAGACATCTGATTGTCTTATCCTCAGACAAGTGGTAACTTTGATATATTGTGCTTATATAGGTATGGCCACTAGTACAATCATGGATGCCACCTTAGACAAGTGGAGCAGGGGGATTATCCAACAGCAGGGGGGCATTATGAGTAGGTAAACAGTCCACGTTTTGTTTACTCACTCACTCATTCATTCTTCTAGCATCATTACTTCAACCATCATTCTACCATTCCTCCCACTCTTCCACCATCATTCCACCACTTACTAATATTAGATACTAAAAGTGACAAATTATAGAAGATAATGCATTCTGTCCAGTGAGTAGCTCAGACTGAAACCCTAAACTATGTTTCTAAGCCAAATCCTGGCTGTTGTAATAGATTGACAGACTAAATAGGGCAGAAGTGTTACTTGAGCTTAGAGTTAAAGTATGTCCTTAGAATAACTAATTCTGACTCTCAGATTTCTATGTGAAAATGACATCTTTTCAAAAGACTTGATAATCATGTGTATTAGTCAGGATTCTCCAGAGGAACAGAACCAGTGAGATATCCTCTTAATACACATTCACACTCACTCACGCAGACACACACACTGAGTAGCTCAGAATGAAACCCTGAACTGTGTGTCCAAGATAAATCCAGGCTGTTGCAGATACACACAGGAAGAAATTTACTATGGAATTGGTTCATATAAATACAGAGGGCAATAAGTGTCATGATATGATACCTGCAAACTGGAAGATCAGGAAAATGGTAGTGTAATTCAGTCTGAGTGCAAAGATCTGAAAACTAGAGGAGCTGATGGTGTAACTCCTAGTCTGAGGCTAAAAACCTGAGAACTGGAGTGTAGGGGTGATGCTAAAGTGAGGCCCAGGGTCTGAAGGCTGGAGAACGAGGAGCTGATGTCTTAGGGCAACAGAAGATAGATATCCCAGATCAAGAAGCAAGAGAGAATTTATTCTTCCTCTGCCTTTTGTTCCCCAATAGATTGGATGGTGCCTGCCCACTTGGGTGAGGGTGATCTTCTTAATTCAGACTACTGATTCAAATGCTAATCTCTTCCAGATACACCCTCACAGACACACCCAGAAATAATGTTTTATCAGCTATCTGAGCGTGTCTTAGTCCAGTCAAGCTGACACATAAAATTAGCCACTGCATTGTGTAATTTCAGGGAGTAACCAGTAGTGAATACAGCGGTGGTCAGAGGCAGAGTGAGGAATGACGGTTAGCATCTTTGGTACAGTTGAGGAGTGGGAAATTACAAAAATGGCACTGAAATACACAAGACATTCACTTCCTTGCTCCCTCCCCTGTTTTTCACCAACATACTAAACAGAAAAATTTTTTGAAAGAAGCAATTAAATCTTATTAACAGTTTCATAGGAGCTTCCAGCTCAAAGCCATCAAGGTAACATGTCCAAACAGTAGTATTAAAATAATTTGTTAAAAACTTTAATTCTTCTTTAAACTGTTCATCCTATTATAGAGTATATGAACAACAAATTTGGGTGGAAAAGGATTTTCCTCATGTGAAAATGATAAAAGTGAATGTATGCCAGGCAAAGATTTTGAAAACAACAGAGCTACATGTGGTATCGTTCCAAGTCAGGAAATCCCTTTTTTGAAGTTCCTTAGAGGCAGGAGATACCATTTTTCAACAGCTTTCCTCAGGGCGTTCTTTACCTCTTGATTCCTCAAGCTGTAGATCATGGGGTTCAGCATAGGGATGACGATTGTGTAGAACACAGAGGCCATTTTGTCCGTGTCGAGGGAATGGTTTGATTTGGGCTGCAGGTACATGAAGATCAGGGTCCCGTAGAATATGGTCACAGCGGTCAGGTGAGAGGCACAGGTGGAGAAAGCTTTGTGCCTCCCTTCTGTGGACTGGATTCTCAAGATGGCGGCCACGATGTATAAGTAAGAAATGAGGACGGTGGTCAAAGAGCTGATCATGTTGAATCCAGCGAAGATGAAAATCAGGATCTCTTTGAGGCTGGTGTCTGAGCAGGCCAGGGACATCAAAGGGACATCATCACAATAGAAGTGGTTGATTAGGTTGGGGCCACAATAGATCAACTGGAAAGTAACTATTGTGTGGAGCAAAGCAACACAGAAGCTGTATAAGTAGGGGCCCAATACCAGTTGCATGCACACCTTCTGGGACATGACCACCATGTAGAGAAGAGGATTGCAGATGGCCACATAGCGGTCTTAAGCCATTACTGCAAGGAGGAACATCTCCGAAATCAGGAAGTTCAGGAAAAAGCCCAGCTGTGTTGCACATGCATAGAAAGATATAGACCTGTGCCTGGTCAGGAGCGTGTCCAAGAACTTGGGGGCTATTGATGAGGAATAACAAAGGTCTACAAAGGCCAGATTGCTAAGAAAAAAGTACATGGGTGTGTGAAGTCGAGAGTCCAGCCGGATTAATGAAATCATCCCAACATTTCCTACCAATGTTAGACTGTATACACCTAAAATGAGGAGGAAGAGAGTAATTTCGATCTCTCTCTGGACTGAAAAGCCCAAAAGAATGAATTCTGTCACTCTGGTGCTATTCCTTTCAGCCATTTGTTCGAGTCTGTTATCTGCTGAAAAAAGACAAGGTAGGACCAGAGACAAATTTTTGGTACCACGACATTGGAATCAGACACCAACCCTTGTGCATTTGGGCTTGTAAGAAGATACTATTCATTGAAGTAGAATACAAGAGGAAGCAAGCACATCCCATTTCAAAATATTCTCTCTGGCTATTTATAATTTTATGAGGCCAAAAAGTCGTAAGCAATAAAAATAAATCAATTGAATGCTACACAGTAAAGATAGGCAAACAAAACATTTTATATGTTTGTAAACATATTTAATACTTTAGCTTTAGATAGTATTAAATTATATTGGATAAGGAGAAGAAAATAATTTTCTATTTCCTGCTGCATTATTTTATTTTTGGTGGAGCAAAACCTTAATGCACTAATTTATTATTTTTCTAGTAGATATTTTTTTCTATTTTAACAAATATGCAGCATGCTAAATGAAAAGTTAAGCAGTATATTCAATGGGAGGAATAAAGGAAGACAATAAACATTTATACTTTGGCCAGGCATGATAGCTCACGCCTGTAATCCTAGCACTCTGGAAGGCTGAGGTGGGAGGATCGCTTGAGTTCAGGAGTTCGAGATAAGTCTGAGCCAAGAGCCAGACCCTGTCTCTACTAAAAATAGAAAAACTTAGTTGGGTGTGGTGGTGAGCTCCTGTAGTCCCAGTTACTCAGGAGGCTGAGAAGGGAGGATCTCTTGAGCCCAGGAGTTTGAGGTTTCTGTGTGAGCTGAGCTGATGCCACCACTGTAGCCTGGGAAACAGAGCGAGACAGTTTCAAAAAATATATATACATATATATTTTTTTTGTAAGTCAGGGAAATTGTTATGTAACTAATTTTCAAATACAGCCTTTCTAAAAAAAAATTAATGTAAGTAAGACTGGAATATATATATTTTAAACATATAGTTATATAAATTTGTGTAAACTGTAATATAGTATTCTATTTTAATTACTTATAACATTTATAGTCGGAAATGTTTTCTACAACATCTGGTTAATTTTCAATGAAACAATAGAACAAATCCCTGCTTTTAAAATGTGGTAATCTCTTTTACAAGATAAAGTAATTATTTTCAGCAAATAACCCTCTTGTTTTATGTACTCTGGGAAGTTATCATTGTTAAAGCAAAGACCTTTATGTTCATAATTGTGAATGTATATTAGTATTGCCTCTTGTTCCATGCTTAGGGCTCCAAACCGTATGCAACTTGGGTCGTGTTGTGGTGCCATCTGGGCAGCTATTAGGAGGAGGAAGCAGCACAAGGAGCCCAGACAGAACATGGTCAGTTTGCCTGAGGTTGCTAAGTTAATTCTCCTTATTTGGATTCTTTGTTCATAGGAGCTACAGAGCCATGTCCTCCTCCTCCTCCAGTCGCCACCATCTTCAAGACTACCCCTTAAATCTCTGGCTGTCAGCTCCCTGGTACACTGCTCAGTGAGAATTAATCTGTCTCATTTCTCTGTCCCTAACTCTCGTATGGTTATCACAGCCGTGCACAATGTGGTTACTGGGAGTTATCTGCCTCATTCTACCTCTGAGTCTGAGAAAGCTAACTTTAAATTTGGGAGGAAAGTAAAAGATAAGATATTCACATCATATCAAATTCCAAAATAAAATAAATAAATAAAGTGTATAAAATACAAAGAATAATACCCTTTCCTTCTCAAACTTATTGCTTAGAGAAAACTTTTTTTTCTAATAGTTCAGTGTGAATGGTCATATAATTTGTACTTTTAATTGCCTCTTCTTCTATTGACCCAAGCTTAATACTTTAATTGGTGCCTAATGTATTCTTAAAAAAACAACAAATACATACACACACACACACACACACACACAGACATATATACGCACATATGCACAGACATACACACACGTACATACATGAATCTATACGCATACCTATTTACATACATAAAATCCAGCACAAAAACAATTTTCTCCCTCAAATATTCTGCCGGGAGGAAGCCAATGCTCATTTTGTGAGAAACGTGTTAGGATAAAATTGTCACTCTGAGTTGTCTTCCTGAACTGGCATCTTAACACAGCTCAGAGTACTTCAGTACACAGTACTTTGGCTCACCACTCTGAGTGTAGAATAAGAGGAGAAATAAGAAAGTATCAATTTGCCAGTATTAGCCCACTTTCAGGCATGGGAACATGCTGAGTTGAGGTCCACTCTTGGTCTTCTGTGGTAAACATCACTTCAGGTGTTTAGAGGTAATTAGTGGGAGCTTTGATACTGGGTTACTTTTCTTTAAACATGCACTGGAATCAGGCTCGTTTTCCTTTCTTATGTATTGATAATAAAAGGAAAAAGTGTAAAACCTAAACACCCTCAAATTTCGAATTTGGAAAAGGCTAGCTCTCATTTTTGTGTATTACTCTCAAGTATAAGTGTCTGTTTGATACACATTTTCCCCAAAACCAGCAAAATTTTCTCCGAAGAGAAAAATAATTATCACACACATGCTCTAGTTCCCCAGGATTTCACTTCTGAAGTTTTATCAAAAGATAACGAATGTTTTCCTCTTCTAAAGGAAACCCAAGTCTCAAGGAACACTTGAGTGAGATATTTTATTTTGGGAGAGTTAAAAGGTTTATTTAAATCCTGGATGTAGACATCAGCCTATGCAGCTGGAGCAGAGTTAGGGTCATCTACGATCTTTTTAATGGGGAAAGTAGTGTAAGACTTGGGGGAGTGGCCTATTAGAAATGACCAACAGAACCTGTCAGCCTACCTGATTATAGACGAAATCTTCCCCTGAATGTTTCCATATGGATCTCCTTCCACTTGACTCTCAGGGAGAGCATGTGAGTGTGTGATATATGCCTTTGTAGAGTGGAGTCTTTATTCTTTCAGAGTTAATTCCCAATATTCCCGAGACATGATTCCCCAGGGCTACTGACCCGCCCAGGGGCCAACTGTCATAAGGAAGTTCTAACTAGAAAAAGATCAGCCTATGAAGACAAAGGCAACATTCAGTCATATTTGAATAAGAACCACTGAGTCACTAGTCTTTGCTTATATATGTGAAATTCAATTTGTATAACCACAGCAAAGCAAAGCAAAACAAATGGAAAACAATTTTTTTAAATACCACAACTCTTTCTAAGGCAATGTCATCATTTGTTTGCCTATGTTTCTTCCTTTCCCTTGATCTTAGTGAGAGGGATTCTCATTTAATCATTTGTTTGACCATCACCTGAGTGTACTTTATACCTAGACATTATGCATTTTAGCAAACATATTTATTTATTGTTTTCTTTTCTAAGGGTAGAAATGAAAATGATGAATTCTTTTAATCTACATCCTACAGAATTCACAGTTTTTCATAACATTTAACTTTTAAAAATCAGATGGTATTGATTTGTTATACAACCTGAGGCAAGGTCTAAGTGGTATTTGTCTATACAGCTAACCAGGTGACTTAAAATTCTTGATTGAATAATTCATCTCTTTCTTATTAGTTTAGAATTAATAAGAATTTAAAATATTATTTTATTGACTAAAATAATTTAATAAAATCAAATAGCTTCCATATATATTAAAAATCTTAGAATTTTAGAAATCTTGATGGACACCATGTGTTTTTATATATCTTTTTTTAAAATAATAAAACAAACTTTTTCTAGACAGAAAGTATATATATACATATATATCCTGATTTAAAATTGTAGATATACACATTATGAAAAAATAGGTATAAATTATCCATGAATAGTAATTTCTCTTAAATTTGGGGATAATTAACATTTCTTTCCCTACCACATTATTTAGTTTTGGTTTTTGATCATGGTCAGAGCATTTCACATGAGATCTGCCCTCAACAATGTTTTTAAGTCAGCAATATTAGTCAGCCTTAAAAGAAAAAAAAAGAAAAGAAATTCTTCCATATGGTACAACATGGATAGATCTTAGGGACATTATCTTAACTGAAATAGCCAGTAATAGAAGACAAATATTGTACTAATCCACTTATATGGAGTATCTATAATAGCCTCTCTCATATTTTTGTATATTTTATTAAATTGAGCTGATAGAATATTTGGCAATTTACTGCATATAATTACTATTTTTCATAGCAATATATATCAGAATTCTATGTACTACCGAATATTCTTCCAAAATCATGTTTTCTAATACATATATGTAAAACAGAGCACATGATGACATTTGGTGATTTTTTTCCTAATTAGTAAAATAATAATACTATGATAAATTACCTTATTTACAATCTGTTTAAAATGGCCCACTATTTTGAGAATAAAATACAAAAAGACAGAAATGTTAAATAAGAGAATATGGCTACTATAAATTTTTCACTTATTGTTAAATTATCTTTCTCTGATAATCTGATAATACTCCTTAAAAAGTTTTGTTTTTATATGTTGCCTCCAATTGATCTCCTGTCATTTTTCTTGAAATCATTCCAATAAACCTTTTACATTTCCCCCTATTGAAAGTCCCCCTACCAAGGTCATACATGACCTCCATGTTGCATAAAGCCGTGATCAATTCTCCATCACATTATTTAACCTCTCAGCTATATTTGCCACAGTTAATCATTCCTGGCTTACTTCTCTTCACTTGGATTCACAAACTCTCCTGATTTTCTCCTATTTCTACTTCTCTAGATGTCTCTTCTTGGTTTTGTTGTCGGTGTCTTCTTCATCGTCTTCACTTATAAATACTGGAGAGCCACAGACTCAGTTGGTCCTTTGTAATTTTGTCTTTTTATAGCTATCTGACTTCCTTTTCTTGTTAATATCATTCAACATTTCTATTTAAATACACATATATACATACACACAAACAGATGAGGTCCTCAAATAGGTCATTTTGGAAATCACTTGAGGTCCTCATTTTGTAAATCACAGGTTCTCAAATAAGGTCATTTTGTAAATCCTGCCTGAGCCACTGTCTGTGTGGAGTTTGCCTGCTCTCTGCATGTCTGCATGGGTTTTCTC